ATTTATTACATACTTAGTAATAAAATACAGTTGAGAAGAAAATAAGTAAAAAACCATGCATGGACTTCTTACATACATGTTCATAGTCTAATGTCTCATAAGATCTGGGTTTGTTTCTATTTCTATTTCAATGCACCTGATCCGTAATTTGAAAATATTCTATATTATTACATGTATTTGTAAATTAAGATTAGCCTTATTTTCAAAAAGTTAAAATTAAGAGAATATGAACCCACCAGAAATTGTGTATGAGTACAAGTACTGTTATTGTGGTTTAATTTACGAAGGGTGTGATATTGACGTCACAATAGCCGTATCAGCCCTGCAGGGCTGATATGGATTTGCAGGGCTGATACGGATATCAGCCCCGCAAATCCATATCAGCCCTGCAGGGTTGATACGGCTATTGTGACGTCAGCCATATCGCATATGCAGAAAACCTGTATTCATTACGAAGAATGTAATAAAATGAAATAAATCTGATCATGACGGGTGTGTGAACTTGATCTCGCTGCACTGAGAATTCAAACACTACGTCTATGACGTCACTGACGTCAGACTGCAGGGTAAAGAGAAACAAATGTGTGGATTGGGCAACTTTACAATATCTAAATGATGGCAAGATCTTTAGAAATTTTTATTAATAATAATTTCTAAAATTAAATGTTTAAAAAACACTTTTAGAATTTAGAATATAATTACACAATAACTGTTGATTTTAACGACGTTTAACATGTATATCATCACCGATTATGACGTGATATGTCCTTTTAGTCATGTGACATGTGTCCTGTCTCCCTTTAATATGAGTTTAGACTTTTTATGAATAAGAAAAATTACAAACTTGTAGAATTGTTTCCAACACATAACTTCGCCATGGTTTGTATAGTTATTATCTGATGAAAAGCTTCAGCATCTAATTCTTGATTTTCCTCACTTTCTCGTCTTTCATTTTCAAAATCTTTAAATGGTCTTTCTCCTGTAAATAAAATTTATTTATTTTATGCCTCTGATGTATGAGATTCTAATATACATGACAGAGGTAAGTAATATTCACCAATTGAAATTTTTTGAAAATCATTCACGTTGAGGTATTCTAACAGAAGTAAATAGCGGTAACACACATAGGTACAATACTTTCCTTATTATCTTTAATTTTGATGTATTTTCGAAAGAAAAAAAACAACAAACAAAACAAACAAACAGGCAGAACATCCCTGTAACACAGATAAAATATGCTTATAAAGGAAACACTGCGGAATGAGAAACCTTTTTTGACAATAAGTTCAAAACCATAAATGAAATAAAACATTATACACACATTGAAGGACATCGTCTCTTGAAAAAAAACTGTTTAAATGTAATCAATGTTGAATAATGTACACAGGCTTTGATATGCCATTATCTCACAAATTTTGAATTTGAATGCAACTCAAGGAGCTTGCTGGGATTACAATGTCCAATTCCTATATTTTAAAAAAATACAGAAATATGCATGACTTTTTGTAAATCACATTTGTTCGCGAGAACAATACTTTTGCGTATTCACATGAGATATTCTGATGACTAAAAATTTGATTTAAATGATTTAAAAGAGTTATGTGCAAAAATTATATATATTCGGAAGAATCGTCCGTTATGCAAATTATCCCATGTTTCCTTCATTGTTGATGCCCTTAAAAGTCTCCTTACTAGACACTGGTTCCTTAATAATACATATCATATCTTTATGTCTTAAGCTATTGCTTTTGCCAAAAAATCTAATTTCATTTACGAAATGCTATATTCTCTAATTCGAGAAATTTGTACTTTCATTATTTTGTTATAGGTACAGAACTTTTCTAATTATCTTTAAATGAAATGTACTTTCAAAAAACAAAGCAAAACAAATCAAAAAGGCAGGCGGAACATCCCTATCAAGCAGAAAACATAGGTTAATTGAGGAAGCACAGCGGAATGAGAAACCTTTCTGAATTTAATTTCTAAACCATAAATGATATAAGACATTATACACACAGTAAAGGACATCGTTTCTGAAAAAAAAAATGTTTAAATGTAATGCACCGGAAAACAAAGGTTGTATCTACTGTTTCGATGTATTTGTGTTTGTCAAGGTCACTCCACTTTATTTTTAGCTGAAACATATAATTAACATTCAACCAGAGCATGCAAAGTTGAGAAATATTTTCTAACAACCTGTCAAAAAGATTGCATCATAATTTTTCGTCTACGAACATCAATTTCAGGGTAACTTGAGATCATGGTAACTATGGAAACTTATTATTTTCTGCACAGGCGTACTAAAGGGCCGAAGAAGTGTTTAGCAATATTTTCGTTATTGGGCATGATTAAATTATTATTTTTTTTTCTTTGATTTTTCCACATGAAAATATAATTTTCAGGTTCTGAAACCAATAATTTTCTGTAGCCTAATACATTTAAGAATTGAAAAAGATAACAGGGACATTCAAGTATTCTATATTTTGTCATTTTTCCCCTTTGACCGTCACTGTGTCTCTTTAATACATAATTGTTAAAAAACATTTTTTTATTACTTCGAAATGTCAATTAGATTTCTAAATGGTTAATCAACATGAACTTTTCATATTTTTAAAATGTTTTTTCTTACTTATCTCTGTATTCATGTATTAAATTTTGTTTCTTCTTAATTTCATTTTTTTTATTCATTTTTATCACTGCTGTGAGAAGTTTTATTTAAATAGAGAATTCATTTAAATATGTGAGGAAACCTCATTTAAATAGAATTTCAAGTGAATTATTTTTCTACTCAGTAAAGGTCATAATTTAAGGAATCATCAATTTTTTAAGTTGTTTTGCTTTATTTTTTATCGATTCAATCGAGAAAATTGAAGAAATAGTAATATATTTAAATCTCCGTTTAAATAAAGTCGGTGTTTTCGTTACATTCTGAACATTTAGTAAAATGATTGCTTGTTTACTAAAAAATATAGTGGTGATCAACTCTGCAATCTTTTTTTGTTTAACAAGTCAACAAACCAAAATGTTCTTCTATCGTGCTGGGTTTTTTTTTCCTTACTCTTTTGTATATTCTCGTTCATTAAAATTATAGAATTCATAAGCTTGGACTTTTCATCAATTAAAAAAAAGCAAACTTGTAACTCTGTATCCAGAAATATCTGCTTCGTCCACATTTCAAGTAACTTTCAATCACCATTCAGTGGACACCTTTCCGTCAACTTTCAATGAACTTGTAAAAAAAAAAACACTGCATGTTTCCTGGTAGTTTACTTCGGCAGCCATGAAAGTTCACGCGTGACGTAATGAGACTTTCGCTTTAAATTTAGAACAACTGAATAAAGCAATTATCGGTGTTGATAAATGATTGTGCTGATTTTCATCACAAAAACATAGGTATATAAAACCATTTTAAGTGCTATTTTTATGCAAGCGATATTTATGTTTAAAATAAGGGAAATCCAAACAGATCCGCTCCTATAGAACCTAAATTCTCATTGGCTGTCCCAAAATACAATCTATCAAGGTCAGTAAACATGGCGGATAAATTTGAGATGTGATGTTGACATACACGAAATATAAGCGATATAGGGATCGTTCTGTATATTTTTGCATTGGTTTACGTCTTGGATGACTACTTATTTGGAGTCAAGGTAAGAAATATTAATAAATTAGCCATTTACTGATAATTTGAGCCGAAATCCGTGCGGGAGCGAATCACTCCCGCAGCTGCACCATTATGGAGATCCTAAGGAGTTGTAGCCCTCGCCCCAAAAAAGGGGAGAGAGCTACATTATTGCAGCTAACAGTAATCTGGAGATTTTTTTTATTTTCAACAATGGAAAATCGCAAATGAAAACGGTGTCGTCATACAGCCTTCAATGTCTTATCTATTCAAATCCCGACTATATAATAAAACAATTATGGACTCTTTTGGTGTTGAATATGGTTTGTTATTCACCAGAAAAATATCCATATTGACCTCGGCTTCACCATATTCAACACCAAAAGAGTCCATGATTGTATAATATGAACACAAACCTGGCCGAATTTAGCTGTGACAGGGTCTAAAAAAGCATTCCTTATAATTAAAGTGTGCCCGAACTACTGAAACTAATCAAAAGGCGTTGTATTTATTCACTCATGTTTGAAAATTATCAACATCGTTGTAGATTAAAAATAATTCGTCGTGGAAAAAGGGGCCCCAGATAGCAGTTATGTCACATCATCCCTTGTACTATCATTTTCTTGTTGAGAAACTATAATCAAGCCATTGAGTGAGTTAGTGTTTTATATCATGATGTGATTAATAACTCAATGTATATATGAATTTTTAAACACTTAGTAATAAATACAGGATTTTTGCGTATGCAGTATGCCTGATGTCACAATAGTCGCATCAGTCCTAAAGGGCTGATATGGATTTGCAGGGCTGATATAGGTTACCAGCCCTGCAGGGCTGATCAGGATCAATATCACACTCTTAATAAATCAAACCACGGAAAGAGTACTTGTAATCATACACAACTTTTGGTGTTTTTTCACTTTTTGAAAATAAGATTAATCTTAATTTACAAATAATAGATTGATTTCAAATTACGGACCGAGTGTATTTAAATAGAAGTGGAAATAAACCCAAATCATAGGAGACAATAGACCATGTACATGTATGTAAGAAGTGCATGCATGATTATTTATTTAATTTCTTCTCAACTTAATATATGCTGTTTTTATTACTAAGTAAGTCATAAACATATTAATACATGCTCTTTTCCACATCACATCCTGTATCAGCCCTCAACCAATATCAGCCCTCGGACCTTCGGCCCTCTGGCTGATATTGGTGTCCCTGTCTGATACATGATGGAACATGGAAAAGGTAATGTATTATTGTCTATATAATATGAGAGTCGCATGGGAGTTTTCCCCCGACTTACGACAGTGTATATTATCTTACAATAAATATGAGTTCAGACTTTTTATGAATAAGAAAAATTACAAACTTGTAGATCTTTCTAAAACTTTGTCTAAGGTTTTTGTAGTTGTTGGAAAATGTAAAGCTTCAGCATCTAGTTCTTGATTTTCCACACTTTGCCGTCTTTCATTTTCAAAATCTTTTAATCGTCTTTCTCCTGTAAATAACATTAATGTATTTTATGCCTCTGTTGTATCAGATTCTAATATATAAGACAGAGGTAAGTAATATTCACTATTTGAAATTTTTTTTTCAAAATCCTTCACTATGAGGTAATGTAGCAGAAATCAATAGCGGTAACACAAATATGTACAATACTTTCCTGATTATCTTTAATTTAAATGTATTTTCAAAAAAATCGGGTAATAATGAAATCACTGCGGAATGAGAGACCTTTCTGACATAAAATTCTAAACCATAAATGAAATAGGACAGTAAACATGTACACTCAGTAGAGGAAATCGTTTCTGAAAAAAAAATTAAATGTTACGTGCCGGAAAACAAATGTTGTATCTACCGTTTCGATATGTATTAGTGTTTGTCAAGGTCATTCCCCTTTTATGTTTAGCTCAAACTTATAATCAACATTCAACTGGAGCATGCAAAGGTGAGAAATATGTTCTAACAACGTCAAAAAGATTGCATCAAATTTTTTGGTCTACTAATATCCATTCCTGGGTAACTTGAGAACATAGTAACTATGGAAACTTATTATTTTCTGCGCACAAGTACAAAAGGGCGGAAGAAGTGTTTAGCAATATTTTCGTTATCGGGCATGATTAATTTTTTTTTTCTTTGATTTTCTCCATAAAAATAGAAATTTTAGGTTCTAAAACCTATAATTTTCTGTAACTTAATACTTTAAAGTGTTAAACAAAATAACAGGGTCATGCCAAATTTCTGTATTTTTCATTTTTCTCCTTTGTGCGTCACGGAGTCTTTTTGAAAATTTTATTATAATATATTGTTCTTAAATTTTTTTTTTTATTACCTTGATATTTTCATGATTTTTTTTAAATTCATTTTTCTATTTATCTCTGTATTTATCCATTAAATTTTATTTCTTTCTTTTTTTTGTTTGAGTTATTTTTTATCTCTGCTGTGAGCATTTTTATTTATGTACAAACTTCAGTACATAAGATTTTTACTCAGCACTAAGAACACTTAGTGAGGAAACCTCAATTGAACAGAGTTTCAGGTGCATTATTTTTCTACTCATTAAAGGTCATTATTTAATTATTTAAGGAATCATTAATTCTTAAGTTGCTTTGCTTTACTTTTTATCGAATTAATCAAGAAAATTGAAGAAATGGTAAAATAAGTTTATCTCCATTTAAAAAACACGTTGTTTTCTTCACATTCTGAACATTAGCAAAATAATCGCTTGTTTTTCTTAATAATAGTGTGGTGATCGACTGTGCAATCTATTTTTGTTTAACACGTCAACAAACCAAAATTTTATTCTGTCGGGCTTGTTTTTTCACCGTACTCCCTTATTTATTATCTTACATTCAAAATATAACATGCATAAGTTTGGACTTTTCATGAATTAAAAATATAACAAACTTGTAACTCTGTCTCCAGAAATTTCTGCTTTGTCCAAAGATTTTGTACTTGCCGGCAAAAGTAAAGATTCAACATCTACATCTTGGTTTTCCTTACTTTCTCGTCCTACAACTAAAATTAATTCATATTATGCCCCTATTGAATCAGATTCATATAAACTAGTGCATGACATAACATTCTTCTATTCAAGTGTTTGGCATTCCTTCACATTTGTAACAGTTATTAAAGAGATGTCAATACCTTTCTTGACTATCTCTGATTTAAAAGCCATTTCAACAAAAAACAGGATCAATCAGGCGGAGCATCCTAACAACGGATAAAATATACAGTAATTAACGCCATCTGACATAAGTTTCTAAACCATAAATGAAAGAGGGCAATATACACTCAGTAAATCAATTTTTTTTAAGAAATATTAAAATGTAATCAATGTTGAATATTGTAAACAAACTACTATGTATTCTGTTATCTCACAAATAAAATCTGAGTGCAACACAAGGAGCTTGATGGGATAGCAATATCCAATTCCTAAATTAAAAAACAGAAATATGCAATGACTAATTTTTGTAAATCACATTTGTTTGCGATAGCTTTACTTTTGCGTAATCACATGAGATCTTGTGATGACTAAAAATTTCCTTTGAATGACTCGAAAGAGAATGTGCAAAATTATATATATTGGGGAAGATTTTGCTTTGCCCGTTATTTAAATTATCCCGTGTTTCCTTCTATCGTTGAAACCCTGGCTTTAAAAACATGATTTAAAAGATTTAAAAACATGGAGAAATAAATCAAGAACCGAGCGCATTTTTTGTGCGCAATAAATATACAGTTTTTTCAATGAGTGGCTCTGTAGCTCTCCGGTCTATCATTATATATTTTTCTGAGAGCTACAGATCTGCAGCTAAGACTTTTTATGAATAAGAAAAAATACAAACTTGCAGAATTGAATCGAGCACATCTATTCACTATGGTATCTGCATATTTTAGCCAATCATCTTCATTATCTGGTTCAGGATTTTCCTCACTTTCCCTTTCATTTTCAAGATCTTTTAATCGTCTTTCTCCTGTAAATAAAATTATTTATTTTGTCTCTAATTTATAAGATTCTAATATACATGACAGAGATAAGTAATATTCACCAATTGAAACTTTTTGAAAATAATTCACGTTGTAGTAATGTAACAAAAGTCAATAGCGGTGAAGAGGTACAATTCTTTCCTAATTTTCATTAATTCTAATGTATTTTCGAAAAAATGAATAATAAAAATAATAAACATTAAACAGACAAGCGGAACATCCCTATAACACTCAAAACTCTGTAAAACACTGATGCCCCAGTATGGCAACATAGCAAAGATTAAACTTTTCTTACATGCAAGTTTGATTTATTGGTAGCAAAAGTAGGGTATTTTCACTCGAAAACAATTGTGAAATTAGAAAGCAGTCCAATGGTAAAGTTTTTTCAATAAGTACAAAAATCTCCAAGGTCAAAGCAATTGGTATTCAATGTAAGGTCTTCCCACATAGGATACTTATGTAGATTATGGAATCCCTAGCCCAAATCGTTCAGAAGTTACGGCCAAAGTCATTTTTTTTAAATCAGTTAAACTCCAAGACTAAGGTCAAAGGGTCAAAATTCTTCTTATCAAATGAAAGGTCTTGTCAAAAGGATTAAATATGTAAAGGATGCACTAGTCCTAACCCTTTAAAAGGTATGTTAATGATTTCTTTTTTTAAAGTAAGGCAAACTCAACGGTCAAGGTCAAAGGGACAAAGTTCTTGGTACCCAATGAAGGGTCTTCTCACAACGATTACATATCTGAAGTATGAAAGCCCTTTCCCTTACAGTTCAAATGTTATTGCCAAGGTTAAAATTTTTTCACAGGTACGGAAATCTACAAGGTCATGATCAAAGGGTCAAGGATGCTGGTATCCAATGAAAAGTCTTTTGAACAAAGTATTTTTATGTGAAGTATAAATGTCCTGGTATCTAGGTTTCAAAAGATAGATCAAAGTAAAAGTTAAAAATGTTCTTGTAAAAGTTAGTCAAACTCCACGGTCAAGGTAAAAAGGTCAAATTTGTTGGTACCCAATGAAAGGTCCTGTCACAAGGAATACACATGTGAAATACAAAAGTCGTGCCTCAACTGAATCAAAAGTTATGGGCAAGGTTAAAGTTTTTGCGGACAGACAGACAAACAAACAGACAGAGAGACAGCTAGACAGACAGATGGATAGACACGACAAAAACTATAAACTCCCGAAACTTCGTTAATGGTGGCATAGAAATAAGAGAAAATGATAAACTTTCTACTTTATTTAAATGTTTTCATTTACGGGAAAAACATAATGATATTTCATTTACATACCGCCAAAAGTCTTTTGATTTCTTCCTCGTCTGAAAATGATTACTAGGGCACAGGAAGGTATAAATAATACTAGAAATACTCCTAGAACTAGGATCCAAACCCATGTATGACTTCTATTAATATCTGGGATGGTTGTACTCCCTAAACTTATGTTCAAGATGGTTGGTCCATAATAGATCTCAGTTGCATCCTGGGTGGTTTTTGCTATCGTAGTACTCATTGTAGCACTCCTATCCAAACATTTAAAAGTAAAAAGTATACACATTTTCCCTTAGTTCAGTATGCATAGACTGCTAATCATTCTACCTTGCATCGTTTGCTGTGTTTGAATTTTCACAAATGCTTCTATCAAGACTTGGGGTCAAAATTGGAACATTTTGAATCTTTTCCTTATACAAACTTTTACTTTGATGATCAATTTCTCGTTATCAAATATGACATTTGTTCTGCAGCAATGACCTGACTAACATCAACACAACTGATGATTAAACAGATCTAGTAAACTGAAGCACATGAGCATAATCTTTCGATTTAAAAAAATAATTTGATTCATCATTTTCAGGGTTCTCCTAATAGAAAGTAGAGAAAACTATTCACATACCCTTGTTTACAGAGTGGTTCAGCAAGGAAACACCTATATCCAATAGTTTGGCAACTTGGATCTTTAAATGAAATAAATAAATATATCAACTAAACATTTTATTTTTCTCATTTCAATTGATTCGAAAATATATCAAAAAATACAAGGCTTACATCGTTAAAACACGCATTATTAGAATAAGTCAATTAGCCTTTTTAAAGTATAATATAAGATAAATACAGCATGCTTCAAGTTTCAACATCACACGGAATTGCTTCCATTTATAAGTTACACTAAGTATATATTTTTTGATAATTTGTATTAATATTTTGAAGGAAATTATTGATAAAGAGATAAGTTTTAATAGTGGTCAATAGTAGCTTAAATACTTTGAATCTTTTTTCAAAGCCATTATGATGAATCTAATAGAAAGAACCAATTTCTTTTAAATGTTATACGAACATTTGAAGATTTCTTCGCTCCAGTACTGTTTATCTGGACATCCCTTTCTAAATTGTTTACAGCTGTAGGCTTCAACAAGAGACGTTGATTTCTTTAGAATCAAACAGATATCTAAAGAAAATGTTTAAAACTATATTGATTTACAAGTAATAATTGTGTCATTATTATTAATTTGGATTTATGACGCGTAGCGGGACAATCATTGAAATAAAAAAGCTGTTTTAATATAAACATGTAACATCACATATACATGTAACTGTAGTAATATATTTGACTTACTGAACTATTAAACATGATTATCAATAATTAAATAACGCTTATATTGTGTAGTGTTCATTTAAAATTTCTCCTAAAATAAGATAAAAATTGAAATACAAATTGCTTTGTTTTACTTCTTTCAATTGAAATCCTTGGGTATCTGTAACAAAACTCCAACAGCTGTGTAATGTTCTCGTTAGGTATACACATGTATCCATTACTCTCTGTACAGTTTAGGTCAGATGACCTACTTCTCCATTCTGATTGGTTCCTGGGACAAAATGATGTGGCATACACTGGGAAAGAATAGCCGCTCAGTTTACCCTTTGAATTTAAAATGAAGTTCGTGTTTTAAATTTGGGTATTCCATGTGGATTTTCCAAATCTAAACTTTTGGCATATATTTGGTAAATTTAAAAAAGAGTAAAGTTTAAATTTGTATAAAATGAAAGAAATCTAAAAAGAAGGCGTAAAAATCCCACAACCCATCCATAGGCAAAAGATCCTGATCAAGTAGCCACAAACTGTACGATTTTGAAAATCGAAGTTTTATAGTAAAGATATTAAGGAGCACAAGGAGCACACGGAGGGTGTGACCGGTCGGCAGGGGATGCTAGTAGTATAAGCATCCTGGATGGGAGGGTCAACTGAGTGCACTTCTGGGGTTGGGGGGATAGGCGGGTCAACTGAGTGCAGGTTTGGAGGGGGATAGGTGGGTCAAGGGAGTGCAGCCCCTGGAGGGGATAGGTGGGTCAAGAGAGTGCAACCCCTGGAGGGGATAAGTGGGTCAATTCAGTACATATAATCCCCCTAAATACGGGGGTGTGTTTACACTGTGTTTACATTGGTACGCTGCTACTACGATCTGTTGCATCATCTTTTTATACCTGTTGCATCATCTTATTATACCTGTTGCATCATCTTGCAAAAATAGGTTGGACTTATCTTTCTGTAAACTATCTAGTCAGCGAGCTTACCTATGCATTGTGACGTCATAAACTTGGCAGCGACGTCATGTTAGTCCTTCACAAGCCGCGATGGCTGCTTATTTTGACACAATAACACAGACTTTCACAGCGCTTGAGACTTCATGTAATAACAGTATGGTCCTATGGATTTCAGAACCAAAACTGATTTTCTACCGTTTTTCTTCCAAGAAAGTTCTGAACAGCTGAATCCTGGATTAGCCTAGATGTTATTTCACTGGATTATTTAATGAATATTACTATAGGCCTACTGAGTTACCTGGTTACATGGTAAGTTTTAACAAACTTTTCTTTATACATTTTCTATGAAGGTCATCTTTGTATTTATTTTTTATTACTGTGTTATATACCTTATGTTTAGAACATTCATATAAACACTGCCATTGTTTACCCTGAAATACACTAGGACACTAAAAGATCCTCAAAATGTTGATAAATCTTTTTTGCATGAGTTATGATCATATTGTCACACATTCCTTTTATTGGATCAGTATTCTAAATATTCTTAAGGTAAGGTTTGCGTCTCCCTCCAACTTTTATTTTTTTTTATATGCACACATGCCATATATCAATTTATTCAGGGAGATTAGCTTCATCATTTAATATGATTTTCAAAGATATTGCCCGTCCCATTTTTTTAGTAAAAGACGCCAAATTTAACGTATTTCATATTTCACCTCGAATATTATTTTCATTGAAAAAATTGATTTATTTTATTAATTATCAAATTTTTATAATTAAAATGACCTGAATTAGTATAATTCATGCTTCTATTATTTGAACTATTAATTTTCCGTTATCAAAAATGTGAAAATTTGGGTAAAAAAGAAGATTTTTCAATTTTCCTGGATAAAGTGAAACCGCTGCCATGGCAACAAAAATATAAAAATCAACGTTTTACATATCTACCGATTCCATCAAATTCCATGAAGTTATTAATTTGATCATTTTAAATAATTTGAACCAAAAAAATATGTATGTCCCCAATATTATTTCCATGGAAACAGGGGCTATATTATGGGTTCGGAACACAAAAATCAGGCTTTTTCTACACTTATAAAGACAACATTGATATCACCTTGTCATGGTGAATGTTAAAGACTAAATGTATTTTTGATATTGTTTTTAAGCAAAACTTGGCCAAAAATATTCAAAATAAAACTCCTCCTGTGCTACAAGATGGTCTAAAAATTTATTCCATGGAAGAAATCTAGTATTTATGGCAATCTTTACATCTGAATATTCTGATGAAATTGTCCATGAATTATACTGCAACACCTTTAGAAGTACATGTATATGTTTATAAACATACTTCAGAACATGTTGCAACTAACCCAATTAAAAGCCTCTGAATTTGACCTCATGCTGATTTAGTTATTCCAACATGTAGTAATTTCTAGACATCTTCG